GAAATGGGCAGGGAGAGGAGGAAGCTTGCACTGCTGCCTGCACAGGGACATGATTCCCTCCACAAAACCATCCCGTTTCTCCTGGGAGAGCCGTTGTGCTGCAGCTGGTTGTGGCTGAGGCCTCTGGTTTGAGCTGTGCCCGGTGCAATGCTCAGCCAGGCCAGGTCTGTCCCCGGGCGGATGCTGGCCATGGCTCTGGCCACACAATTGCCTTATAAGCCTTGGAATGTGACTGCAATGCCTGTGCCTCTGGCGCTCGGGCAGCTGGCACGGAGGCTGCTTCTCAAAGGACAGCTTTGCTCGTGGCACCGGACGCTGCTGCGTGGGGCCCTGTCCCCGGCACGAGCTCGGCACTGCATGCCTGTCCCAGAGGACACAGATCTCTGCAGCACCCAGGCAGGGAGGACGGGCCCTGAGGGCACCATGTGAAGCTGGAGTCACCAGCACCGCCGCCCCAGGGCCCGCTGATCTCTGCTGAGCACGCAGAGAAAGCCTCAGCGAGTTTATTCTCTAAAAAATGTTTCTCTTGGCTGCGAGCCAGCGCTTAACAAAGGGTCTGGTCGGATGAAGGAGCCTCCCAAAGCCCAGGGCAGGGGCCTTATGAAGCAGCACTTGGTGGGGCTCGGGCAGTGCTGCTGTCAGGAGCAGTGAGGGGATGTAGCCAGCTTTGGGGGGTTCTCTGTTAAGAGCAGGCTTTGTGGCAGGGCAATGTGCTCTGTCTGAGGGGAGGGGTGAGCCTTGCACTGCTCTGCACTCCAGAGACATTCCCAGCCCCAGAGCTCCTGCCCAGAGCACACTGCTGCCCTTGGCCACTGCTTCCCATGAGCTTGCCCTGGGAAGAAGAACGGGATGTTAGGAAGCGTCCTGCCTCAGCTTTGAGGGCTGCAGTGGGGTCCTGCTCTGTGGGGCCAGGGACCACAGGGGGAAAGCAGCACTGGCGTGTGCTCTGGCTCTTGGCTGTGTCCCTCACTGTAACACTACTGGGTGAGCTGTCAGGCTGCTGCAGCTCACTGGCCACACACAAAAGAAGTGCCACTATGACCCCCTGCACGTGGATCTCCCGTGGCAAGGGGCTCTGCTGGGGCACTGACACCTGGGCAGACTGTACGCCGCGGTCCCTGTGGCAGAGCAAGGGCAAGGGCTGCCATCTGGGGAGCTGGGTGCTGTGTGACACATCCCAGCCTCTGCCAGCTGGGGAAGAGGGGAGACCTTTGGTTCTGCTGGCAGGATGGTGCTGGGGGATGCACCTTCCAGCCTCTCCCCACCATGCTGGGTGATGCTCTGTCCTGGGGGTCCCTGGAAAGGGTGGCAGGTGGGCATCTCTCTGGGTGGGGTGACAGAGGTGCAGGGAACAAAGGACTGGCTGGGCAGAGAAGGGAGGAAGGAAATCCTGGGTTTAGGTTAGCAGGCCTGGGTGGGAAGCGGGAGGACTGGCACTGCCACAGCTCCCAGCTGAGCTGGCACCTGCCACAGGGGTTTCCAGGCGTGCCAGCATGGAGGGGGACGGAAAGTGCTGACCGGGCTGGGTGAGGCTGTGTGACGCAGCCTGACGTGCTCTCCCCTTCCCGACTGGCCGTGTGAAAACATTTCCCAGCTCCTGCTCCTGCCTGCAAACCCACACAGCCGCCCTGTGCCTTCCCCAGCCCTCCAGGGCAGCAAGCCGGGGCTTGCAGCAGCATGGCCAGCCGGCACCACTGCTGCCGAGGGCACCCTCCCGTGCTGGGCAGGAGGAGCAGGCACTGGGCTGAGGGGTGGCAGCAGGATGCAGGCGGAGCCGAGCCACATCCAACCCGGCTATGAAGTTTGGCCTCACATGGAGTGCCAGTATTGGTGTAGGGAAGGGGAATGTGGCTCTGGGGTGAGCCAGGCTCTGCGCACGGGCAAGGAGGGGCCAGGACTCAGCGGCAGGGATTTTTCAGCCCTCTGACAGTGCTGGGAATCTGGCTCGCTCCTTTTATGTTCACGTCGAACAGGACTTGAGGAAATACTTGGTCCGGGTCCAAGCGCCTCGAGTTCTTCCATGCTGGAGGAGCAGGAATGGCTGCATCCTGCCCACGTCTGTCTGTCTGTCAGTGCCTGGGAGCTGTGTGCTGTGCTCTGGGCCCTGCTCGCCTCTGGCTGTGCATCCCTGGTGGGAGGGGAGGGCAGGACAGGCTCCACTTCCCCGCACGGGGCTGACGGGGCTGACGTATAGCCGTGCAATGGAGCCACAGCGGGGGCAAGGCTCTGTGTCCGGGAAGAAGAACCCGTGGCTGTGCTCTCGGCTGTCCCGGCGCGACGATGTCTGGGGGAGCAGCGTGGGTGGGGGCGGGTGTCTCCCTGCCTTGGGAGGGCTCCTGCTCCTCTGTGGGAATGAGGTAATGTCTGCGCCTGCTGGGAACAGGACGGGAGCATGGAGCGTGGGCGGCTGGGGGGAGTGCCCAAGGGGTGCCTCCCCTGACCCCCCCTCGCCCCAGGCGAAAGGCTGGACATGCCTGTGGTTTGCAGTGAGATGTGGGCTGCCCAAAGGGCCCTGACTCACTGTGCTCCCTTCCTGCCCCGGGACCACAGGGATGGCTCTGAGGGGTGGCCAGGCTTCCTGCCGAGGCTGAGCCAGCACCGCCTCCGTGTTTGGCGTCATGGGGATGAGGCCCCGGGGTGCTGGCAAGGTCCCCAGCTGTGCCAGAAGGCAGGGACTGGGCAGCACCCTGGGGTACTGCTTTGCCCTCTGCTGCTGCTGCCGAGGGGAAGAAGCTGCTCTGGGCTCATGCACTGGGAAATGAGGAGTGAGCTGGGTGTTCCCACCTCCCCCTGGGTCAGGCCTGTGTGGGTATCCTGTGCTGGGCTGGGAGCCTGAACCCCAACAGACCCCTTGCCTTCATGAGGACGAGGACATCCCTCTGCTCCCGAGCCAGCACTTGGCTGTTCCAGCTCTCCCTGATTCTGTCTGTCTTGCAGCTGACTCCAGGTGGGAAGGCGGCTCAGGCTGGTGTGGGAGTGGGCGACTGGGTGCTATACATCGACGGGGAGAGCACCAGTGCCATGACACACATTGAGGCCCAGAACAGGATCCGTGCGTGTGGGGACAGGCTCTGCCTCACCCTGAGCAGGTAGGAATCATGGGTCCTGCAAACATGGGGTCTTGGTGTGGCCAAAGCATAGCCAGGGCCATCTCCCGGTATCTCCATATCCTGGCATCACTGATCTTTGCTCAGAGCTGGGCAGCCCCTGGCTGGATCTGAGGGCTCAGCTTGGCCGGATGAGGCTTAGCCTGGCTGTGAGCCACAGGGCAGTGCCAGCGGGCCATGGCTCCCCTTGGGTGGTTGTTGCATCCCTGGGGTACCAGTGTCCCAGCAGTGCCTGGGCCAGTTCCAGCACCTGCCCATCTGTCTCCTCTCTTGCAGAGCCCAGAACCAGCTGGGGAAGCCGCAGAAGGTACGTGTCGCTCATGGTGCTGCAGTGGCAGCTCAGCCTTGTCTCAGGGAAAGGGACTCTCTGAGTGTAGATGGATAAATAGATTTTGCTCCTGGGGCTCACAGGCTTTTAGGGGACTGGGGTGTGTTTGGAGATCTAGATAACCCCACTGGAGGAGCAGCTCTGACCTCTGGCACCGTGGAGGATCAGAGGGAACAGGGTCTGCTCGGGAGGCAGCTTGGCCCAGACTGTGCCCCTGCTGGTGCCAGGTGTGGGCAGGGGTGCAGAGGGGCCAGTGCAGGGGAGGAGACTGGGCAGGTGCAGCACAGTGTTTGCTGGTGCTGGGGAGTGCCCTGGCATAGGGAGGCAGGACTGAGGTCGGTGACCAGTGGCTCCTGGATGGAAGCCGCCTATATGGGTTCAGCTTTGTGCCACAGGACGGTTGCGATGGGTGTGTGTGCATGTGCACCGCCCTGCCATGGGCAGCAGCAAGCGTCCGGGGCACCTACTAATCCTCCAACGACCCTCAGGCTGGATTTGTGACCTGCTGTCACTGGGCTGGCTGCTCTGTGGAGAGAGGTGCCAGCCTGGCAGAGCCCAGTGTCCAAGGTGCACGTGCTGTCCAGCTTTCCTACCTGGCTGCCTGCTGCGCTGCCTGGCCCAGGGCTGCCCTTTGCATGCTGCTTGATGTGTGAGCCCGTGTCTGTGTGTTTTGTCTCGCTCAGGACTCACTCCCCTGCTCTGAACCCCTGAAATATAACTTCGCTCCCAGCACCGCCCTCAACAAAACAGCTCGGCCCTTTGGGGCCGGCTCGCCTCCGAACCCACAGCCCGGGCTGGTGACGAAACCTGTGACGTACGCGCCCCTGGCGCCCGCCTGCACCCCCCAGCACAATGGGTATGTTGCTGTCCGTCCTGCTTCCTGAGGACTGGGGGGAGCCCGCTGCCCGGCCCTGCTGTGCCTTGCATGCCAGACACTGAGGGTGGGAGTGGGTGAGAGTGCCCGTGCTGGGGTCCCCGGTGGCTGGTGCTGAGGTAGCACAACAGGACTGTTGCACACAGGGACACACAGCCACACTTGTGCCAATCCCTAGCTCAGGGATGTGTCAGCCTGCGGAGAGTCCTGCAAGGTATGACACAGCAGCTGTAGCAGGACACTGACTGGCATCTGCGGCAGCAGGGAAATGGTGGCTGCCTGGGGATGTCCTGCTGGTCCCCTGGCTGGTGGGATAGGGTGAGCAGAGTGAAGCCCTCCAGCCCTGCACAGCACCATCATCACCCAGCTCTACTCAGCTGCCTGTGTCTGGCAGCTCCTGGTCCCTCCTGAGAGAGCTGCTGTGGTGCCCTGGAACTGGGCAATGGGGTGGGATGTGGCACCCAGGCCTGTTCTGGGGCTTGAGGGAGCACAGTCTGGTCCATTGGCATCTGCCCCTGTGTCCCGGTGTGCTCACAGCCCTGGGCGAGCCGGGTGTGAGTCTCAGGGGTAGAGGGACTAATGTAGGCCATAGGTGAGCTCTGGAAACTTCTTGGGTGCTGCAGATCTAATTTCACCTTCCTTTTTCTTTCTTTCTCTCCTCCCTTTCTCTTTCCCTCTCCCTACAGGTGCTGAGCCTTGACAAGTCAGTAAGCCTTTTGCCTGCTCTCTCTATCCTCCCCACATGCCTCTTCCCTGCTATTGCCCTGTTCTCCAGGGCAGGGCCAGCCTGGGGATGGGCAGCATGTGCTGCTCTGCCTGTGTGGGTGGGTCACTTCTGGCAGCAAGCTGTCCCCAACCTGAAGGGCAAGTGCTGCCTGTCTCTGCCAGCTGCTGGGGCCCTGGAGTGTCCTTGTGCGTGGTCCCTTCCCTGCTCCCCAAGATGTGACTTGGCCGGACAAGGGCTAATGGACTGTGCTAGGCACCCTGCCCAGGGGCAGGTGGCATGCCATGGGCAGTCACTAGGCTCTGGTGCAGCTCTCCCAGTGGTGGTTTTTTGAACATGTCTTATTCTTGCTCTGTCCTTTCTCCTTCTGGCCCTTGGGGCCAGTATCACACTATCAGTCCAAAGTCGGTCCTTCGTGGGCCAGGTCTTTACTGGAGAGGAGTAGAAGGGTGGGGAGTAAGGACACATGTGGTGTCTTGAGTACTGGTGTGCTGTGGTTCTTCGCCAGGGGAGGTGTGGGGCAGCCCCAGGGAAATGATGCCATGAGATCTGTCAGATTTGACAGATGACTCTGTCACTCGCAGGCAGCCCCCTCAGCTGCTGGAGCCCCCCAGCAGCCCCGTGTGCGACCCTGTGAAGCTGCGGATGTTAGAGGACATTGATGACTCGCAGCCCCACAGCTGGACCTCCCAGTCCCGCTCCTTCCGCAAACTGACCCGGCTGGTGGGCGCAGACAGCAGTGAGTTTCCACGTGGCCTGGCACTGGCTGGCTGCCCAGCTTTGCCAGGACAACTGGAGCTGGAAAAAGGCTGTGGTGCATTGTGGCACTTGAGTGTTGGTTTTGGCCCCATGTGGCCCCTGTGGGCCAGCTGAGCCAGTGGGAGCTGCCCGGGGCTGTGTGTGGGCTCGTGGTGGTGCCGCTGGTCTGGGGCTGTGCTCTGCCCCATGGCTGGGCAGGGCTGTGCAATGGGGCAGGTGGGTGGCTGGAGGAGAGGGTGTTTTCCCTTTCCTGTTCCTTTTCCATTTCTTTTGTCTCTGGGCCTCAGTTGCCGCAGACTGACTCCACCTTTCTCTCCTGTTGCATTCAGTGGAGGATGGTGAGGATGAGCTTGTTAAAAAGCCCAGGTAAGGGGAACATGTGCAGGGGTGGTAGCAGGAGCCACAAGATGCTCAACCCACGTGGCTGCTTCATCCTCACAGCTTGCAGTCACTCTGGGGATGCTCTTTGCCCTGTTGCTGTTTCTTCTTTCCTCCTCCTCCATCCTCTCCCCTTCCCAGAGATGAGCTGTTGGTGGAGCTGCAGAACCTGCCCTGTGCTCAGCCCACCACGGGCACTGCCAGTGCTCAGCCACTGCTCTGAGTGTCACCTTGGGAGGGTCCTGCCCGGACACCCACTGGCCAGATGGGATGTCCTGTGCTGGGTAGGACCCGCTTGGCACTGCTGGCACCAAGCTGGGGAGACCAAACTCTGCCATTGCTATTTAAGCAAATGGTATCTGGAGAAGGCTGGTGGCACTAGCAACACATTGCTGGGGGTGCTCTGAGGTTCCAGGCATTGCCTGGACCTGGGGCACAGTGTGCCCTGAGCCTGGTGTGGGGCAGCTGGGCAGAGCTAGGTGAGTGTTGCCAACTTCTCCTTGTGCTGGAGTGCATTTGTGAGGGATGGGCTGAGCCCTGGTCAAATCCTGAGTGTTGTGCTGCTGTTTTTTTCAATACCGCAGGGATACCCATGGGTCCGGCTGGGGCACAGTGGAGCAGTGGTGAGTGCGAGAGTCTGATGAAGGCACCTTTGGGAGCATTATCCTGTGCTGAAGCAGGGTCTGTGCTTGGTGTTGGCTGAGCTCCTACCCTCTGTCACTCACAGGCAGCCCCCTCAGCCACTGGAGCCCCCCAGAAGCCCCGGGTGTGATCCTGGGAAGCTGCGGATGTTAGAGGACGCTGAGGACTGGCAGCCCCGCACCGGGACCTCCCAGTCCCGCTCCTTCCGCAAACTGGCCCAGCTGACGGGCACAGATGGCAGTGAGTTCCTGCAGGGCCTGGTGATGGCTGGGGGTGATGGACTGTGTTAGCTAGAATCTGACAGAGGCTGTGGGGTGATGTGTCACTAAAGGTTTGGTTTTGGCTCCCTTGAGGGCAGCTGAGCCAGTGGGAGCTGCCCGAGGCTGTGTGTGGGCTTGTGGTGGTGTTGCTGCTGGTCTGGGGCTGTGCTCTGCCCCATGGCTGGGCAGGGCTGTGCAATGGGGTAAGGGATGGTGAGTGGGGAGGTTGGTTTTCCTCCTTTCCCTTCCTGCTGTGCCTGGTCCTTGGTTGCCCCAGACTGACTCCATCTTCCCCTTTTTCTCCTGTTGCACGCAGTGGAGGATGGTGAGGATGAGCTTGTTAAAAAGCCCAGGTAAGGGGAGCGTGTGCTGGGTTGGCAGTAGGAGCTACAACATGCCCACCCTGGGCTCAGCCCACCTGGCTGCTTCATCCTCACAGCTTGCAGTCACTCTAGAGAAGCTCTTTTCCCTGTTGCTCTTTCTTTTCTCCTCTCCTTGTCCTCCACCCTCAGGTCCCTCTGTCTTCTCCATCTCCCCGGAGATGAGCTGCTGGCAGAACCGCAGAGCGTGACCCGTGCTCACCCCACAAGAGGCACTGCCAGTGCTCAGCCACTGCTCTGACAATCACCTTGGGAGGGTCCTGCCCAGGCACCCACCTGCCAGATGGGGTGCCCAAATGGGGTGTCCCTGTGCTGGGTAGGACCTGCTGGGCACTGCTGGCGTGGAGCTGGGGAGGCTGAGATGCAGCACTGTGTACAGTACTGTACTGTGTACAGTACTGTACACTGGACACAGTGGGTGGGGGTGGCTGGTGGCACTGATAACACCTTGATTGGGGTGTTGGGAGTTCCTGGACAGGGACTGGACCTGGGGTACGATGTTTTGGTGGGCTGTAAGGCTGGTCAGGAGTGAATGCTGACGGTATTTCTGTAAGGCTTGTGCATCCCTGAGCTGGTGGGGCATACGGGAAGGATGGGCTAAGCTATGGGTCAACCACTGACTGTTGTGCCACCGTTCTTTCTGATACCACAGGGATGCCTGTGTGTCCAGCTGGGGTACAGGGCAACAGCGATGAGTGCTGGGGTCGGGCAGAAGTGTTGGCATGTGCCAGGGCATCTTTGGGAGCACTACCCTGTGCTGAAGCAGGGTCTGTGCTTGGTGTTGGCTGAGCTCCTGCCCTCTGTCACTCACAGGCAGCCCCCTCAGCTGCTGGAGCCCCCCAGCAGCCCCGTGTGCGACCCTGTGAAGTTGCGGATGTTGCAGGACATTGATGACTCGCAGCCCCACACTTGGACCTCCCAATCCCGCTCCTTCCGCAAACTGGCCCGGCTGGTGGGCGCAGACAGCAGTGAGTTCCCATGTGGCCTGGCACTGGCTGACAGGCTGGGTGTGCTCAGCTTTGCTGGGGCATCTGGAACTGGATAAAAGCCGTGGTGTGTTGTGGCAGTGGGGCATTGGTTTTGGCCCCATGTGGGCCCTCTGTGGCAGCTGAGCCAGTGGGAGCTGCCCAGGGCTGTGTGCAGGCTCGTGGTGGTGCCACTGGTCTGGTGCCATCCTCTGCCTCATGGTTGGGCAGGGCTGTGCATTGGCGCAAGGGGGCAGCAGGAGGAGAGGGCGTTTTTCCTTCCTTTCCCTTCTCTTTCCTTCCTACTGTGCGTTGGCCTCAGTTGCCACAGACTAACTCCATCTCCCCCTTTCTCTCCTGTTGCGCTTAGTGGAGGATGGTGAGGATGAGCTTGATAAAAAACCCAGGTAAGGGGAGCGTGTGAATTGGTGGCAGTAGGAGCCACAAGGTGCCCACCTGGGGCTCAGCCCACCTGGCTGCTTCATCCTCACAGCTTGCAGTCACTCTGGGGATGCTCTTTGCTCTGTGCAGATTCTTTTCTCCCTCTCGGTCCTCTCCCTCCCCCAGACTCGGGCTGTTTCCAGAGCTGCACAAGAGGCACCACTGGTGCTCAGCCACTGCTCTGACTATCGCCTCAGGAGGGTTCTGCCTGGGCACCCAGCTGTCAGACAGGCTGTCCCCGAACAGGTTGTCCCCATGTAAGGTGTGCAGGCAGGACCCTCTGGGCACTGCTGGCACAGAGCTGGAGAGGCCAAAGTGCAGCACCATGGACTGGACACAGTGGATGGGGATGGCTGATGGCACTGAGAGCACCTTGCTGGGGGTGTTGGGGACTGCTGGGCTGCAACTGGTCTTGGGGCATTATGTTCCATGCAGTTGTGGAGCAGCTGCAAGGCTCGTTGGGAGTCAGTGCAGCCAGCATTTTCACGTGGCTTGTGCCTCCATGGGACTGAGTACATATGGGAAGGATGGGCCGAGCCATGGATCCACCATTGACAGTTGTGCTGCTGTTTTTTCTGATGCCACAGGGATGCCCATGGGTCCAGCTGGGGCACGGTGGAGCAGCGGTGAGTGCCAGGGTCTGGCAGAGGTGTTGGCATGTGGTGGGGCACCTCTGGGAGCACTACCCTGTGCTGAAGCAGGGTCTGTGCTTGGTGCTGGCTGAGCTCCTGCCCTCTGTCACTCACAGGCAGCCCCCTCAGCCACTGGAGCCCCCCAGAAGCCCCGGGTGTGATCCTGGGAAGCTGCGGATGTTAGAGGACGCTGAGGACTGGCAGCCCCGCACCGGGACCTCCCAGTCCCGCTCCTTCCGCAAACTGGCCCAGCTGACGGGCACAGATGGCAGTGAGTTCCTGCAGGGCCTGGTGATGGCTGGGGGTGATGGACTCTGTTGGGGTAGCCAGAATCTGACAGAGACTGTGGGGTCATGTGACACCAGGGCTTTGGTTTTGGCTCCAAATCACCCCTTGAGGGCAGCTGAGCCAGTGGGAGCTGCCCCGGGCTGTGTCTGAGCTCGTGGTGGTGCCACTGGTCTGGGGTTGTGCTCTGGCCCCATGACCGGGCAGGGCTGTGCAATGGGGTAAGGGGATGGTGGGTGGGGAGGTCGATTTTCCTCCTTTTCCTTTTCCTTGCCCTTTCCCTTCCTGCTGTGCCTGGTCCTTGGTTGCCCCAGACTGACTCCATCTTCCCCTTTTTCTCCTGTTGTGCACAGTGGAGGATGGTGAGGATGAGCTTGTTAAAAAGCCCAGGTAAGGGGAGCATGTGCAAGGGCCGCATGTCCCAGGCGGGTGTCTGGGCACTGCTGGCTCTGAGCTGGGGATGCTGAGCTGCACCTTAGCTTTTCGGGTGTATGGATAGTGGAGGAGTCTGATGGCTCTGGGAAACCTGGCGATGAGATGCTGGGAGGTGCAGGGTAGTGCCTGCACTTGGGGCACATTGTCCCTTGAGCCTGGTGTGGAGCTGCCAGGCAGATAGACTGAGCTGGGTGAGTACCACCAGCTCGTTTGCCCTCACTCTCGCTGCTTGTGGTGACTCTCAGGAAGCTCTTTGCCCTGTAGTGGTTTCTTGTCTCCCTCTCTGTCCTCTCCCTCTCCCAGAACTGACCTGTTAACAGAGCCACAGAGCCCCCCCTGCCCTCAGCCCACAACAGGCACTGCCAGTGCTCAGCCACTGCTTTGACCATTACCTCGGGAGGGTCCTGCCTGGACACCCACTCACCATACACGTGTCCCCAAATGGTGTCCCTGTGCTGGGCAGGACCCGCTGGGCACTGCTGGCACCCAGCTGAGGAGGCCAAGATGCAGCACCGTGTGCTGGACACAGTGGATGGGGGTGGCTGTTGGCACTGATAACATCTTGATTGGGAGGCACTGGACAGCAGCTAGTCCTGAGGCATGATGTCTTGTGGGGCCGTAGAATGGCTGTAAGGCTGGTCAGGAGTGAATGCTGTCGACATTTCCACGAGGCTCGTGTATCTTTGAGGCTGTGGGTGTGTACGTGAAGGATGGGCTGAGCCATGGGTCAACCACTTACCTTTGTGCCGCCGTTTTTTCGATGCCACAGGGATGCCCGTGGGTCCAGCTGGGGCACGGTGGAGCAGCGGTGAGTGCCAGGGTCTGGCAGAGGTGTTGGCATGTGGTGGGGCACCTCTGGGAGCACTACCCTGTGCTGAAGCAGGGTCTGTGCTTGGTGCTGACTGAGCTCCTGCCCTCTGTCACTCACAGGCAGCCCCCTCAGCTGCTGGAGCCCCCCAGCACCCCTGGGTGCAACCCTGGGAAGCTGCGGATGTTAGAGGACGCTGAGGACTGGCAGCCCCGCACCGGGACCTCCCAGTCCCGCTCCTTCCGCAAACTGGCCCAGCTGACGGGCACAGATGGCAGTGAGTTCCTGCAGGGCCTGGTGATGGCTGGGGGTGCCAGACTTTGCCTGGGTTGCTGGAGCCCAGCAGGGGCTGTATTGTGGCACCAGAGTGTTGTTTTTGGCCCCATGTGGTCCCCGTGGGCAGCTGAGCCAGTGGGAGCTGCCCGGGGCTGTGTGTGGGCTTGTGGTGGTGGTGCTGCTGGTCTGGGGCTGTGCTCTGCCCCATGGCTCTGGCCCAAGGGCTGTGCCTTGGGGCAGGGGGATGGCAGGTGGGGAGGTTGGTTTTCTTCCCTTCCCTTTCCCCTCTTGCTGTGTCTGGGCCTGGGTCTCAGCAGACTGACTCTGTTTCCTCCTTTTTCTCCTGCTGCGCTCAGTGGAGGATCATGATGAGATGTTTGTTAGGAAGCCCAGGTAAGGGGAGTGTGTGGCAGCAGGAGCTCCGTGGGGCTGCATGTCCTGGGCAGGACCTGTTGGGCATTGTTGCTCCTCAGCTGGGAATGCTGAGCTGCACCGTTGTGTCCCAGAAACAGCAGGTTGGGGGTGACTGATGGCACTGGCAAAATCCTGCTGGGGTATTTTGATGTTTAGGCAGCACCTGGGGCATGGTGTCCTGTGGGCCTGGTGTGGGGCAGCTGGGCAGAGCTGGTGGGTGTCACCCTCTTCTCCCTGTGTGGGGCAGGGAAGGGAGCCAGGGCTGTTCCTCACTCCATGAAGCTGGGCAGGAGTGGTGCACCGCACCCCAGTTTTTGCCTTCACCTGTCTGTGATGCCTTCTGCCCTGGTGCTGTGGCCCTTAGGTTCCAGCTCTGCCCAGTTTGCTCTGCCACTAATAAAAGCTCCTGGGTTTGTAGCCATCTCCTTTTGTGTTTACCCTGGAGAGGAACAGAGCCACCGGCTCTCCCTCAGTCCCTGTCCCCTCTCTTGGATGGGCTGTGCCTCTCTGGCCCTGGCTTGCCCTGCTTGTCCCCAGTTCTGCTGAGTTGGGCCCCAGGGCTCCCTGCATCACATTGGGTCCAAGCCCCTCTGCACCCCAATGTGACTGTGAGTGATCACTGCGTGTGAGCAGGCAGCCAGAGTCTGTGGGGTCCCTGGGGCCCCTGGTCAGTCTGACACAGCCCAGATTCCTCCCTCCTGCCACTCCTCAGACCACCACAGTGGGTACCAGACACCCTAGGGGTGCTGTGTCTTGGCAGGGCTGATGGTTCCTCATCACCAAACCAGCTACTGGCTGGGCACGGGGGCTTGGCCAGGTCCTGCCTGCTTGTTGGGGTGGGGGGCCCTGCCTGCACCCTCTGGGCAGCAGAGTGGGGCAGGCTGGATTAACTGCATGTTCTGTAGCCAGGTCTCCGTGTCGGACCCATCTCCAGGAGCAGCGATGAAGACTGAGCCAGGACTGGGTGAGCAAAACATCTCTGGGCTTTTCGGGAGAGGGGTGGGGCTGCTGGGTGATGCCACTCACTCAGCCACGGGTTCTGGGAGGGGGCTGCAGAGGAATCAGGACTGTTGTAGAGACGTGTGTGTGCATGCAGCCCCCAGGACCCCCACTGCCACCCCGGGCCCCACCAGCCGCCCACCGTGGGCTGTGGACCCGTCGTTCGCCGAGCGCTACGCTCCGGACAAGACGAGCACGGTGGTGAGCAAGCACAGCCAGCCGGCCACGCCGACCCCCATGCAGAACCGCAGCTCCATCGTGCAGGCGGCCCAGCAGGCCCCCGAGGGGCCCGGCTGCACCCCCCTCTGCTACAAGTGCAACAAGGTCATCAGGTGAGCCCTGGCCACCACCACCCCCTGCCAGCATCCTGGGCCCTGGCATGGCTGACATGGCTCTGTCCTGCCACAGGGGACGGTACCTGGTGGCATTGGGACATTATTACCATCCCGAGGAGTTCACCTGCTGCCAGTGCAGGAAGGTGCTGGATGAGGGCGGCTTCTTTGAGGAGAAAGGTTCCATCTTCTGCCCCAAGTGCTACGATTCACGCTACGCGCCCAGCTGTGCCAAGTGCAAGAAGAAGATCACTGGAGTGAGTGTCCCTCAGTCTGTCCTGCACCTCCTGTCCTTGCTCCCCGCTCACCTATGGGTGCCTGGCTCTGTCCCTTCCCACCCTAATCCCATCCCATGGGATCCCTTGTCCCTTCCTGCCCTGGGTGGTCCTGCCCCTGGCTGACAGTGGCTCCCTTCCAGGAGGTCATGCATGCTCTGAAGATGACCTGGCACGTGCAGTGCTTCACTTGCAATGCCTGCAAAACTCCCATCCGCAACCGAGCCTTCTACATGGAGGAGGGACAGCCCTACTGTGAGAGAGGTAGGACCCAGGGACCCCATGTGTCACCCCATGTGGCCCTGGTGCACTGTTGGGGCTCAGCAGCTGCCCACAGGGGTTGAGGGGTGAGTTGCCCTGGGCCATGGAGAGCTCCTGCAGCCCCGAGTTCTCCATCCCAGTCCTCCCGGTAGTGCCATCGCTCCTGTGTTGCCATGGTGATGAGGGAGGATGTACATCAAAGTGAGTGCTGCACCCTGGGAGATGAGATTTGCCTCTTCCCTGCAGCCCTGTGGTGCTGGGCCACCTGCATGGCCCGGACACTTTGTCTGGGGCATTGTCCCCTCAGGACTGGCAGCAGGTTGGCCCCAGGCTGTGCCTGTGGGATCCCGGTTGAGCTGCAGCCCTGCTCCTCTGGGATGATGGGCTGTGGTGCAAAGAAATGCTGACCTGGGCTCTACTCTCCTCACAGACTACGAGAAGATGTTTGGCACCAAGTGCCGTGGCTGTGACTTCAAGATCGATGCTGGGGACCGGTTCCTGGAGGCCCTGGGGTTCAGCTGGCACGACACTTGCTTCGTCTGTGCGGTGAGCCATGTGCCTGTGTCTCTCTCCAATGGTCATGCCCCACGTGGGGTACACCAGCAGCACAGGGACTCTGTTGCCACAAAGTTTTCCCCACTTGTCTCTGTGCTGGGGGCTTGGGAATTGGCTCTCAGCCTTTTGGTCCCTGGCACCTGGGTGACACCAGTGCTGGGCCCTGGGGGTAGGGGAGACCTGGAGGCTGACTCAGCCCCCCAACCTGACCATGTGTACTCTCCTTCCCAGATCTGCCAGACCAACCTGGAAGGGAAGACATTCTACTCCAAGAAAGACAAGCCGCTCTGCAAGAGCCATGCTTTCTCCCATGTGTGAGGGGTGGAAGTTCAGCTGTGCCCACGCGTGCCCCTGGCCCTGCATGCTCCTCTCCTCCCATCCTGATGCCTCCAGGGAGCCAGGCTGGGCCTTTGGCCCTTCCCCTTGCTCCTACCTCTTTCCTGGCAGCTCCTGGCCTGAATTCAGCTGGAGACAGTGCTGGGTGCAGAGCCCTTATAGCTGGGTGACTTCTTCTGTGCTTCCTGACTGGCCCTAGGAGCCCTGGGAAGGGGATGCTGCATGGATTTCCTGCCCCTGAACCACGCAGCATAGTGGGCACAGCCGTGCTGAGGCTGGAATCGGGGATGCTCTGGTGCAACCAGGCTGCTCCCTTGCTGCCTGGCAGCTCAGTGCTGGGGCAGGGATGTTCCTAACACATCCCTAAATGGGTGAGGACCAGCCCCCTGCCACACTCTTCCTCACCTTCCCTGCTGTGTGCTTAGTGCATGGGGCTGGAGACCCAGCCCTGCTCCCCTACCCACAGCAACCCCCCAATCATCCCACAAACTGCTGCAGTGGCTTCCTGCCCTGGCTGCATTCCAAGGGGAGTCCATGCCTTGCAACCCCACTGCTCCCCTGAGGCTGGCAGCACCCCCAGCCTGGTGTGCCCCAGCCCTGGGCTGGCAGCTTGTGTTGATGGCCAGCTGGCTCTGCAAGGCTTGGGCACGGCTTCCTGCCAAAGAGTGCTCTGTCACCACCGTCCTGGGCCCATCGATGCCTCCCCCCAACCCACACCCTCTGGTCGGGCTGCACTGATGTAGCCACGGTGCTTTTAATGCCTTTAATAAACACATCTCTGCGAGTGCCGGCTGTCTCCAGGCCTGCGGTTTTGCCGACTGAGGTGCAGCCAGCTGGGAAGGTCATGCTCTGCCCTCATCCTGGCCCCCCTGGGGCCTGACTCAGCTCCTTCCAGCTTTCCAGGGAAAATCTTCACCTCTGATTTCTCCTCCTCTGCCCGCGTCAGCCCGGGCTGGACCCCTTGTGCTGCCTGGGTCATCCCTCTGTTTGTAGCAGGCAGGATCACTAACAGAGGCAGTAACTAATCTGAGGGGCAAAACGCAGTGAGGGGAAATGGGGCAGGGGTCAGACCTTAGTGGTCCCCACTTACCTGGCAGTGTCCTCTGGTCCCTGCTGTGCCCTGGCCCCGAGTCCTGCACAGGGGACGAGAAGTCATAGGACACAAATGGGCCACGTGCACCAGCTCTGGGCGTTCTCCGGTGTGGGGCAGCCAAGCGTTCGCTCACGCGATGCAGCTGCTGTCCCGGAGGATGGGTGTGAGGCCGTGCCGGCACTCCGGCACCTCCGCCTGGAACGGGCTTGAGGGCAGCGGGTGTGGGGAAGCGGGTGTTCTCCTCCTGCTTCGCTCTGACAGCTGGAACGGTCATTAATAATTGCAGCTCTTGCAGTGATGAGCAATTGTAAGGAAAATTGTCTTGCTAATCTACTGGAAGGTTCTACCGGGGGCAGGAGCTGGCTCTGGGAAGCCAAATGCCTCCTGGCATCACCCAGATCTGGGCACTAGTGCCACATCTTCCTACTGCCAGCTGCAGGAGTGCAAAACCCTGTCAAAGATGAGGCGGGGAAAGGAGTGATGGAGACAGGCTGGGGCTGGGCGCTCAGGCTGGGGCACGTGTGGGCAGTGGGAGGGTCACACTGAGGAGCAGCAGGACACAGCTGTAAAAACGGTGCCTGCCTGGCAGGGCTGGGAGGAGCAGGGATGGGTGAGTGCCTGAGCGTGAGTCCCAGCTGTGCAGCCAAGGTCAGGGGAAGCACGGGGGAAGGTGAGGCGGCTGTGGCCCCACGTGAGCAGCCACTGAGCCAACCCTGGCTCAGCCAGGACAGCAACCAGTGAGTGGAGGGCAGAGAAAGGGCAGGGGGAGGCAGCCATGCGGGACGGAGCCTGCTGGGGTAGCACAGCCTGGGAACAGGTTCTGCCAGCTCAGCCCTGGGATGCCCGGCCTTGGAGCAGGGCCAGGGCACAGCCACAGTACCACAGCCAGCCCCCCTGTGCCACTGCCAGGTCTGCACTCGCAGGGGGCTCAGCTCCACTGGGTTCATGCCCTGTTGCCTCTGGCCCCTGCTGTTATGGCTCTACCACCCAAGGTGCCTCTGTGCTTTGCCAAGAGCAGCTCTTGCCCACCAGCTCTGCGCACCATGTGAGGAGCTTGTGCACAGACAGTGGAAGGAGGGTCTCGGTGGGCTGTGGAGGTGGAGCCTTGGGAGGGGCTGCAGCCTCACTGCTCTGAGAACAAAGCCTGGCAGCGGCAGGCTTAGGGCTCCCACCATGTCCCTGAGCAGAGTCCCACCACATCCACCCCCAAAGCCATCTGAGCCTCCTGTGAGGCGCCTGACACGGCCCCAGCCCCCTCACTGGCCCCGGCAGCTGCTCCACAGCTGCTTCCAAACTCTCACAACCTCTTAGGGTGGCTCCTGCTCTGGCCTCGCTTGCAAATGCTGGTGCAAGGAAGGCATGAAAGGGAGCAGACAGCATAGGCAGGGCCCGTGGCACTGTCCCCTGTCCCACTGGGCTCATCCACAGGCTGCACTGAAGGGCTTGGTTTGGGAACAACCCCAACCTGCAGGGATCAGGCCACTGCTGCTCCAGCAGAGACCCCTTCAGCGTGGTTCTGGTCCGGGCTGGGGGCAGTGCCGGGGGACAGGGTGATACTGCCTGCCCTAGCCAGAGCATGAGGACCTGGCTGGGAACCCCTGCAGAGCCCTGCATGGGTCAGTGCAAAAGCAACTGTGAGAGTTCATGCAGAGGCAAAACCTCCTGTGAAAGGTGCTGTTGGACACAGCCTGGCAGGGTTCTGAGGGCAGGCAATGTTTGGGAGCAGTGGGCATGGAGGGGCAGGCAGGCAGCAAAGGGGCCCCCAAAAAGGCTGTGCCTACCAACCCTTGCACAGCAGCAAGGGCACAGCTGGGTGTGTGGGGCAGAGCCCACGGTGCCGTGCCCTTGGAGAGGAAACCTCGGGCAGCTCTGTGGAGGGGAGCTGAAGGCACAGGAAGCCTGGTGTGCTGTGTCCCCTGAGTGAAGAGGACATGGGGCAGGGGAGGGTCCGGGGATGGAGAGGACCACTCAGTGAGGTTCCCAGGGTGCAGGTTCCCGGGGGGGCAGCACAGGATGCAGGTCCCCAGAGCGGAGATGAGAAACCACCCGGGGTACAGGTTCCTATGAGGAGCTGAGACGGGGTTCAGTGGCCCTGGGGGGGGGGGGGTAACGACCCGGGGCGCGGTGTTGCGGAGACTGAGTAGAGCCCAGGCTGGGGGATGCCGGGGGCGAACCGTGTGCAGGGGCAGCCCTGGGCGGGGGCGATGCCGCCCGCATCCCCGGAGTCCCGGCCCGGGGCCGCTCGGCGCGGTCGGCGGCGTGCCCTGGGGGCGCCCCGAGGGCGCGGCGGGGGCGGGGGCCGGTCGGCGGGGGGCGGAGGGGAGGGGAAGGGGGCCGCCGTTCGCGGCGCTAGGACCGGGCGCGGCGGCGGGCGGAGCCTCCCCGCCGCTCGCCCCTCCGCCCGGCCGCTGCGGCAGTGTCTCGGAGGCGGGCAGGCGGCCGGTCCCTCCGGTCCCCCGGCAGCATCCCGGCCCTGCCATGGCTGGCGTCGGCTTCGCGGCGCACCGCCTGGAGCTGCTCGCCTCCTACCAGGACGTGATCGGCGAGGACAGCCCCACCGACTGGTGAGCGCGCCCGCCGCCGCCGCCGCCCCTTTGTCCCCGCCGCCGCCGCCGCCCTTTGTGCACGGAGCCGCCCGGTAACACCGGCCGCGCCCCGCGCTGCGCCCCCCGCCGTCCCCGGGAGCCCCGGCACACAAAGGCGGGCGGGGCGGCGGGGGGTGTGCCCGGCCCGCCGCCCCCGGTGCCCGCACCTGCCCTCCGCCGCCGCACCGGGCCGGGGCGCGGTCCCCGCTTTGTCTGCGTCGGGCCGGCACGTGCGAGCGCCGGGACCCGCCGCCCCTCGGAGCCCCCCGGCCCGGCCCGGCGCGATCCCCCGCCGGGCAGCGAGAACCGGGAACGGGGGGTCCGCGCACGGCGGGGAGGGCCCCCGGGGGCTCCCCGATGGTGGGCCCGGCCCCGGTCCCTCGCCATTGTCTGGAGCCGGAGTCGCGGGCAGGGGCGCCCGGGGATCGGGAGATGGGGAGGGGATCGGGGCGCCCCCAGCCCGGTCTCGCTCCCCGACCGGCGCCGCCGGTGCCCCGACAGCGGGCGGTCCCGCTGCCCGGCGGGGCGAGGCCTGCGACCGCGGGGGCACCAAGCATCCCACGCCGCCCCGCTATCCCCGGATCCCCCAAGTTCCGTGGGTGCCACATCCCTGGGGGGCCTCGGTGCATCGGCCTGGGATTGCCCCGGTGGGCTGGGATTGCTGCAGACTTGGGGTGGGGGGTGGCTCTCTCCGGTGGGACCCCTCGGCTGCCCACCCTGCCTGTCCTGCCTCAGTGCAGGGCACCCGGTTCTGCGGTGCTGGGGCCCGGCTGGATCCAGGCCCTGCTGCAGGGAGCATCACCCCCCGCCAGCCCGTGTCCCCCAGCGCCCACCCGCATCTCCCACTCCACCCTGGTGCCGTGGGGCTGGCTGGGGCCGTCTGGGGCCGTCTTCCCCGAGACCCCTCGTTGCCCCTCAGGGTGCCTGTGCCGTGCGGGGATGCTGCCGGTACGCCAGGGTGCAGCTCGCTGGGCAGAGCCGGGGCACTGGGCAGTGTGGGTGCTGGGTGCATGCTGTGCATGATGCTCTCGGAGAGGGCAGAGAGGGGGCTACCGTGCACCCACCACACAGCTGGGGCACCCACCTCCCAGCTGGGCTGCACCCACCGCCCAGCCGGGCACACGCCCATCTTTAGCCGGGTCCCTACTCTCGGGACAGGGCTGTGTAGTGCTGTGTGGGCCTGGGTATGTCCTGGTCCCCACCAGCCCTGCCGTCTCCGTGGGGCCCCGCGGTCCCGCTGGCAGCCCAAGGGCGCTGTGGGCAAGCTCCGTGCGTGTTGCCGGCCAGGCGGCAGCTGTCAGCTCTGGGTACATCTCGCTTCCCGGCATCCGCTGCAAAGGAGCCGTCCCTGCCAAAGCTGCTGAGAGCAGCAAAATCGGTTCCCGGGAAGGCGAGTGCTGATGCCGGGTCCCCCCCCCTGCCTCTCCAGCGTTGAGCCCGGCCGGGCAGTGATCCCTGTTCATCCCCGTCCTCGGAACTGAGATTGCCGTCGTCCCCAGCTGCTCCATCCCATGGTCACCGGGGTGCCAGCATCCCCGCTGCAGGGCCCGATGCCGGGGTGCGGGATGAGGGGTGATGTTGGGGGGGCTGCATCGGGCAAGGTGATGGGAACAGTCCCACGGGGTGGGGGCCCAGCCTCGCTGAGCCAGGGTCTGGGAGGACACTGTGCCAGAGCCTGGTCCTGGGCCAGTGCCGGGGGATGCCACGCTCTTGCCTGGCCGGGATCCCTGTGTTTAGTCTGGGATTCCCCCTGCTCCAGCCCGGTCCTGGAGGGTCCGACCATCCCCTCCCCCTGCCCAGCCCCGCGAAGGCTGCTGGGGCCCATTACTCGATCGGAAAGGAATTTGGTGCTGCTTTCTGAGCACGCCGACTCCCTGGAGCTCCCAGCTACATTGGAAACACATGTGCTGGGGCTGGGAGGGGAGGCTGGGGCCATGTGACCCTGCCATGGCGTGGGGGGTGGGCTGCTGCGGGAGCCTTGGCTGCTGGCACCCAGAGGTACTGCTCTGCCTGCTCCAGTGAGCAGCAGGGCCATGCAAGGGCAATGGGGCTGTGCTCTCCTTGATGGAGTGATGGGAGATCCTTGCTGGAGCCCCCCCCCTACAGGGAGCCCTCCCTGGGCTGCATGGGCCACCTCCACCCACATACTTGGAGCCTTGGGGTAGGAAGGGGCTGTATGGGTTGGGTGGAGGGATTAAAGCCCATGGAAGGGAGGTAAATGATGCATGATGCTGCCAGCACCTGCTGTGGCACAGCTGGTCCCCACAGCCAGGAGGTCATGGTGATGCTGTTGAGCTGTGGGTCACTGGGGGCACCCCGGGGGGATGCTGCTGGCCCCAGCATGGCCCCTCTGTCCCATGGACTGGAAACCTCCATGTGGTGTGGGATCAGGCCATGCTGCTGGGCTGTGTCCATGGCAAGTCCCAGCTGCCCTGGGAGCATCCCTGGGTGCAGGCATCAGCCCTGTGGTCGGACACCACCCAGCATGGCAGGGTTTCAGGGGGGAGAGGAGGCAGTGGATGCCCCCAGCACCCACAGGGCTCCCCAGGCAGTGATGCTGTGGCTCTGCCCTACTTCTTTCCTCCCATCTGCAGGCGGCTGCATCCCACCCTGCCAGCCTCCACCCCGCGGCCCTGCGCTCCCCCGAACTGCTGCTGTCCTCCCCCATTCCTGGGGGATCAGGGGCTACATTTGCCACCCTTCCCCGGCACAGGCATCACAGACGGCACTTTGCAGCTGTTCCAGGCCAGGAAGCTGGCGCCGGCTGGGGCGGCCGATTAGCGGGATCGGGATGTGCGGATTAAAGTCAATCTTGTTGGTGCAATTATCTGCGGCTGGCTGCCAGGGGCTTGGGGGGCGGCGGGTGCTGGAGTCGGAGGGAGGCCCTCTTCCTGTTAGGCACCTGCCTGCCTTCCCCCTGCTTTTTAGCTCCAGGCATGGTCCTGTTTTGGGGGTGGCTGTGTCCATAGGACCCTCGATTCCTGTCCCCCAGGCTGTGGCTGGAAGCTGTGAGCTCAGGTGAGGACGGCTCTGCCCGGCACCACAGGGATTTTGGGGCTTGAATAAGTGCTGTGTGGGCACCACCAGCCGAATGCTGATCGGCAGAGCCGTGGTGCAGGGATGTGGGGGATCCAGCACGGGCGGCCCCGGCTTTCCGGGTGCAGCGCGTGACGGTGGCAGGCAGGTTTGGGTGCCTGCCAGGCCCCGCAGGTCCCCGCTGCCTGCCTGCCTCCCCCGCTCCCCTTCACTAATCACCTCGTCATCAGGGCGAGCTGCATCCCAGCTGGGATGGGGGGGTGTTGCCATGGTGACGGAGGATGCTGGTTGCCTAGCGACATCCATCCCCTCGCCCACCCGCCCTGGATCAATTTGGCATGCGTGGTCCCCCCTCCGTTGCTGGCTGTGTGCCCCTGGGGAGGTGCAGGCTGGTGGGGGTCCCCGTGGAGCCCCCAGGGGGGCTGGCCAGGGCACGGTGGGAGCGACAGGGGGTTTCCCATCAGCTGGGAACGGTTTCCAAGGAACAGTCTCCATGACGGCCCCATCACACCCTGGTGGCACATTGATTTGCTGCTGATGGTGCTCCAGCGTCCTCCCCCAGCCTGGTGCCTGCTGGGCTGGCGGCTCACGCAGACGGGCACGTGAGCAGCTCTGGGTTCCTACCGGGGGCACGGGGCTGTCCCCAAACCTGGTCACTAGCTGCCAGGGTCGTGGGGGGACAGGGATGGGTGTGCAAAGAGCTGTGAGGCTGTGGTGGCTTGTGGCACAGCAGTCAGTGGGTCCCTGTGCCCAAGTGACCATTCTGTCCCCAAAACTTCTGCCCCTGCTCTGTGGCTGCCAGCAAGGATGGGTGGATGAGACCTGCCCCACATCCCTCCCACCCTGCCTGGTAGCCTGGCCCTTGATGATGGTGATGGACAAAGGCTTGGTGTGGCTCTGTGGTAGCTTGGGGACCAGCCGGTCCCCCAGGGCCTGCCCTGACCTCAGTGTGACCAGGAAGGGGAGATGAGGGGGCCTCCTCACACTTGCTCTGGCCATGGCTCACCCACACTGTCTCCCCAGGGCCCTCTACACGTATGAGGATGGCTCTGATGACCTGAAGCTGGCAGCGTCAGGAGGTAAGGTCCTCTGTCCCCTCCACTGACTTGGCTCTGCCTGTGTTTTCCCTGGCACCCATTCCTGGTGCTGGGTGGACGTGAGCTGACGGTGCTGTGCCAGGTGGAGGTTTGCTGGAGCTTTCGGGCCACTTTGAGATCCAGAAGGTGATGTATGGCTTCTGCAGCGTCAAGGACCCCCAGGCCGTGCTCCCCAAATACGTACTCGTCAACTGGGTGAGTGTGTGTGGGGGCCATGCTGAGGGGGGGCTGTGCCCATGGGGAATGGCTGGGTATGAGCGAGGAGCTGGAGGTGGTCAGGGGGGTACAGGTGCCCCACAGTCCTGCTGTCCCGTGGTGGTCAGTGGGGTGGGGGTCACCCTGCTGCCCCTCCTGGCTCAGCCCCTCCCTGGCTGCCACAGGTGGGCGAGGATGTACCAGATGCCCGCAAATGCGCCTGCGCAAGCCATGTAGCCAAGATTGCCGAGTTCTTCCAGGTGGGTGATGCTGGGGAGAGGGATGATGCCACCGGGGCACCAACGCTGAACCCTGATGGCTGCTTGTCCTCCCCAGGGTGTCGATGTCATCGTCAACGCCAGCAGCGTGGAGGACATTGACCCAGGGGCCATCGGGCAGCGGCTCTCCAACGGGCTGGCCCGTGTCTCCAGCCCGGTGCTGCACCGCCTGCGGCTGCGCGAGGACGAGAACGCCGAGCCCGTGGTAATGTCCCTATGGCAGCGATGGCGATGGTGGCGGGTCTGGGGCATCCCTTCTGCCTGGGGCTCCTGTCTGCCGCAGCCCCTCACCCTGTGTGCTGCTTACTGTCATCCCCCCTCGCTGATCCCAGCCCCTCCACCCCCCCCGCCTCTCCTCCGTCCCAGGGCACCACTTACCAGAAAACTGACGCCACCGTGGAGATGAAGCGGCTCAACCGGGAGCAGTTCTGGGAACAGGCCAAGGTGGGGTATGGGGGAGCAGCCGGTAGCCCCTGGGAGCGGGCAGGGTGAGTGATGGGCAGCCCTCTCATTCATCCCCCCCCCCCCAATCAGAAAGAGGAGGAATTGCGTAAGGAGGAAGAGCGGAAAAAGGCTCTGGATGCCCGACTGCGGTTTGAGCAGGAACGGATGGAGCAGGAGCGGCTGGAGCAGGAGGAGAGGGAGCGGCGCTACCGGGAGCGGGAGGAGCAGATCGAGGAGCACAGGCACGGCAGGGGCTGGGTGGGATGCGGGTGTGGGATGGCTGAGCACGTGCTGCAAGTGGCTGGGTGGGCACATGGGTGTCCCTCATGGGGTGGGGTTGGGGCAGGGACTGGCAGGAACCGGTGCCCAGCGTCTCTCCCCCGTGCCCCCATGGCAGGCGGAAGCAGCAGAGCATGGAGGCGGAGGAGGCCCGGCAGCGCCTGAAGGAGCAGTCCATCTTTGTAAGTTGGAGTCGGGACTGCCACTGGGCATCCCCCCGGGGAAGGAATTTTCCCAACTGGATGCCCAGGACATCCCAGAGCTTGGGAGGTGATGCTGCATCTCTTTCCAGGGGGACCAGCAAGAGGAGGATGACAGGCAGCAGTTCAGAAAATCAGAGTCAGAGGTGGAGGTGAGTGCGGTGATGGCCATGCCTGGTGCTGGTCCTCACTCTCCAGCCAGCAGTGCCTACAGCTGGATGGGGATGCAGCTCGGGGGTACATGGAGGGTGGTCCCACAGCCCCACACCACCAGGGCAGTGGGGCTCAGCCTCCCCCATCCACACAGGAGGCTGCTGCCATCATTGCTCAGCGGCCCGACAACCCTCGGGATTTCTTCAAGCAGCAGGAGCGAGTGGCATCGGGCAGCAGCGATGCTGTCTCACCAGGCAGCCACAGGACAGGTGAGGGGCTGAGGGGGGGCTGTGGGCAGGGGGGTGGGCACTGAGAGACTAAGAGGGCCTGTGGAGCAGGTGAGTGTGGTGTCACAGCCCAACAAGTCACAGTGGGATGTGGAGGGACAAGGGATGCAATGGGGGGGGGGGGGGTGTACCCTTTGCCATCCCTGGCACTGTGGTTCTGGGTGCCAAGGTCACAAGGATGGCAGGGATCATCCTCCCCTGCTGTGCCACCATCACTGCCACTATCACCGCCGCTGCCACTGCAAATCACGTGGCCCCTGCAGCTGGGGCAGCTTGGCAGGGCTGGATGTCGGGGTGTTTTCAGCAAAAGGGGGCTCACCCTGCTCCCTGCTCAGTGTCGTCCGCTCACCTGTCACAGCACTGCACCAGCAGCCAGGTTGGGTGCGTGGTTGGTACAGCAGGAGAGACAGCTGGAGGTCCAGGGATTGCTTGGGAACACGTCCCATGATGACAACTAAAAGGGGCAAGAGTGAGTGAGGCAGATGTGGGGCACTCAGTGTGCTGCCAGCTGGCAGGGGGTGCCCCATGGAGAGACCAGGTTGCCCCACAGTGTGGGGTCCAGCCCCGGAATTGTTTTTATGGCTCTTGGGCAGGGGCTGGCTGTCCTGGTGAGTGCCTCCAGCCGTGGGGCCCTGTCATGGTGCTGTGCTGGGGTGGCTGTGCCAGGAGGGAGCCTGTGATGTGTGTCCTTGCTGTGGTGTTTTGCCATGGGTTGTGCCATGGGCTGTACCGTGGGGCTGTGCTGTGGGGTTGTGCTATGGTGCTGTGCCTTGGGGCAGTGCTGTGGGCTGTGCCGTGGGTTGTGCCGTAGATTCACGCTGTGGGGTTGTGCTGTGCCTGAGCACATAGTTGGTCCCACGGCCATGTTCTGGCCTCTCTCTTCCCCTGGCCAGGCAGTGCTGCCTCCCATCTTTCTGTCCTGCTGCCTTTCCATCCTCTTCTCCTGCCATTCTCCTGCCATGCTGTCGGTGTTGCCTCCCATCCGTCAGGCCTCCCATCCCGGTGCCCTGATGCTCCAGCCCCGCCATAACTGTGCTGAGCAGGGACTGACCCATCTCTCTCTCTCTCTCTCCGTCTGTCCGTCCGTCTGTCTTTCTCTCACAGGTCGTCTTCACTGTCCTTTCATAAAGACAGCTGACAGTGGGCCGCCTTCTTCCTCCTCCTCCTCCTCCTCCCCCCCGCGGACCCCCTTCCCCTATATCACCTGCCACCGCACCCCAAATCTCTCCTCTTTCTTCCCATGTAGGTAGCTGGGAGCTCGCGGGCACACAGCTCCGGGGGGCCGAGCCGTGGGCAGCTGCCCCAGAGCCCCCCAGCCCCACAGCACACCGGACCGACAGCGGAGGCATCGCCCCTCCTGTGGGCACCCTGAGGGGGACGGGCACCCAGGCAGGACCGTGCCCGCACCCCTGGGCACTCGGCATGCCCTGCTGGGGCTGTGCCCTTGGGGAGGGGGTGTTGGGCAGGCTATGCCCGTGGGTCAGATGGCGACAGGGCAGAGTGGTGCCTGGGGAGTTGATGCTCTGTGGTGGGATGGAGCAGACTGTGCCCATGGGGTAGAGGGGGCACAGGACAGGCTCTGGCAATGGAGCATAAATGGGACAGGACAGCTGTGCCCTGGATCATGCAGGACTGTGCTCATGGGGCAGTGTGGAATGGAAAAGGCTGTGCCCAGGACCATATGGGGCTGTGCCCATGGGGCAGGATAGGATGGAAAGGGCTGCGCCCAGGATCATGTGGGGCTGTGCCTATAGGGAAGAAGGGGGTGGGATGACTGTGCCCATGGGGCAGAGGGGGATGGGAAATCTCTGCCCTGAACCATGCAGGACTGTGCCCATGGAGCAGCATGGGATGGAAAAAGTCATGCCTTGGATCATGTGGAGCTGTGCCAAAGGGCAGGCGGGGGGCCATGTAGGGTTGTGCTCCTGCCAGGCATGGGTGACAGGGCACAAAGCTGTACCTGCAGGGGCAAAGCAGTGCCAGGGCAGTGCCAGGGCACAGCTAGGCGACGTGTGGGCAGGGGGGCCAGTGTGCACCATGGCAGGTACGGGGCTGCCCGTCCCTGTGTCTGGCAGGTGCAGGGCCTGGGGTGGTAGGGATGCCTGGAGGGGTCATGGTGGTTGCTGCAGCCATAGAAGCCTCTGCCCTGCCACCCAGGAGGGACGACATGGTGGCTGCTACATGGTGATGTGCATTTGGCAACTGGCAGCTGGGTTGGTGTGGGGCAGGAGCGGTGCTGGGATGCTGGTCTCCCCCTCGATGTGGGCAGCCCTCCCACGCCACCCCATCTCCCTTGTCTGCAGGCAGCCAGTCGGACGCCTTCCGCAAGGCCTCAGCAGCGGGCTGCAGCCCCTGCGAGCCCAGCCCGGCCGCCACGCCGCTGGGCGACCCGGGCACCCGCGCGTCCGCTGACGAGACGCCGGCAACGCCCAAAGGTGGGCGCAGGGCTGGCACTGCCTCCCCCTGCCCGGGGCTGCCTGGGCCCACCCCCGTGGTTTCCCACGGTGCATCCCCCACTGCAGCCCTCTGGCTCTGCTGCAGCCCCCCGTGCAGCCCTGCCAACTGCCCGTGCATTGCTCAGTGCATCTGTGCTGTCCCATCTACATCCCTCAGCATATCCCTGCCATCTCTGCTGTGTCCCACAGCGCATTACCTACTGCAGCCCCCTGGCTCTACTGCAGCCCCCCCTGCAGCTCTGCCAACCACCTTTGCATCGCTCAGTGCATCCGTGCTGTCCTGCCTGTACCCCTTGGCGTATCCCCACCGTCTCTGCTGTGTCCCCCAGCACATCCCCGCCGTACCTGCTGTTCTGTGCCGCTGCATCCCCGCCGTCTCTGCTGCATCCCCCAGTGCAGCCCTGCCGTCATTGCTGCATCCCTGCTGCCTCCAGTGCATTTCCTGACACCAGTGCATCCCTGCTGTCTCTGCTGCAGCCTCCGTCATGCATCCCCCCCATCTCCAGTGCATTCCCCGTGCTCCGTACATGCTGGCTGTCCCTGCTGCACATCCCAGTGCGATGCTGCCCTATCTGCACCGTCCCACTGTACCATCCTTGCCAGGGCTGCTGCATCCCCCTGTGCATCCCCTCTGCCCCACTGTACCCCACTGCATCCAAGCCAGTTCTGCTGCTGGTGCCATGTGTCCCTGCTGCATCCCCACTTGGCCCCTTGGCATCTTGCATCCCAGCTTTCCCTTCTCCCGCCTCCTCCACAGCCCCTTCTGCCTTCCAGCTGCTCCCCAAGGGATCACCTTGCCCCCTCCCCATGTCCACTCACTCCTGGGCCCCTGGTGCATGCCACAGTCCCCTCCCTGTACAGCCACTCCCACCCATCCTTGCAGCATCCCCACACTGTGCCCGGTCCATAGGACCCCCAATCCCCTCCAACTGCAGCCCTGTTCCTGGGTGACACCCAGCCGTGGATGAGGGTGTCTGTCCCCACTGACTGCTTTCCCCTCCTTGCAGAGTCCCCCAGCCCCAGCGCACAGGAGCCCGGGCCAGCCACGCCCGAGCAGCACTGGCCCTTCCCGGGGCCTGAGGACAAGGCCACTGAGCCCCCCGGGGATGAGCCCAGCAGCCCCAGGTCGGTGTGGACAGCGGGGGGTGATGCCCTGGGGGACTTGGTGACCCTGGAGCCCACCGAGCCCTCCCCACTGCCCGTGGCCGCCGAGCCTCAGACTGGGGAGGCTCCCAACCCCGAGAGCCTCATCGACCTGTGGCAGAGTGATGGGGCAAACCCCCCAGCTGCTTGGCCCCTGCCTGCTGCCCCTGTCCCCGAAGCTCCCCCATCCGCACTGCCCGAGGAGGGGGCCCTGCTGAGCCTGGACGAGCTGCCTGAGCCCCCTGCCACCTTCTGCGATGTGGAGCAGGAGGATGAGGAAGATGAAGCAGCTGGCGAGGGGGGCCTTCAGTCCCAGGGGCTTGGCTGCCAGCACGTGCCCCAGGAGGACAGTCCGGGCAGAGAGAGTCCCCCCATCACCAATGGGGAGATGGCCCCCAAGGACGGGACGCCAGGTCGTGGGGAGCAGGTGAGCACCACTTGGAGGTGGGAGGTCAGGGTGTGATGGGGTGGCTGGGGGGGTCCTGACCACCTGCCCCCCACCCCCCAGGCCAGCGAGGGCTACTTCAGCCAGTCCCAAGAGGAGGAGGTGCCCCCCCCCGAGGAGCTGTCGGCCAAAGCCCCCCAGCCCATCTTCTACAACAAGCCCCCAGGTGAGTGAGGACAGTGAGGAGTGAGGTCTGTTCCTCCATGGGGCACCCCAAGCCATCTTGAACCCCCCCCTCCCTGTCCTCCAGAGATCGACATCACATGCTGGGATGCAGACCCCCTGCCCGAGGAGGAGGAGAGTTTTGGGGGGGCCCTGTAAGCCCAGGCCCCGCTGCCGGCGCAGGCAGCCTGCCCCGGCCGGCGCGGGGCACGAGGGGGCTGCAGCCAGGGGCCGGGCCCCCCCCTCACCCCACTGGGGCCCCGCAGGATGAGGCCTCCAGGTGGGGGCCGCCCCGCTGCAACCCCGCCCCGGGGCACCTTTTACAGCCCCCCCTTCTCCTCTCTTTTTTAAGTTGTCGGTAGGAGCCGTGTCAGCCCCCCAGCCCCCCCTTAGCAGCCCCCCCCCGATACCCCAGCGCCCCTTTGGGGGGGACGACACACACGCTCGCATCCCCTGCCTGGCTGTGGGACAGGGTCCTCGTTCTCTTCGTGCCCCCCCCAGGAGTCCCCCAGTACTTTGCACGAGTTCAAAGAAAAGAAATAATAATAATAATAATAATAATAATAAATGAATATGGCAATAAAGTGACCCAACCGAGGCGAGGCTGCGGCCAGCAGCGTCCCCCCCCAAATCCCAGCAGGGAGCTGGTGTGGGGGCTTTTACCCCTTCCCGACTCTCTCCTTGCTGGGAGCCCCATCCCCTCCTGCTTGGCCCCTGCTTGGCCCCTCTCCCCCTGTTCCCCTTGGAAACTTTTTGGAAAGCACAAGTTCTGTACCGGCAGTGTGCTCATGTCTGTTAATAAATAAAGCGTCTCCCACGGGGGCTGCAGCCTGCTGGGGGGGCAGGGAGGGCTGGGAGAGGTGTGGGGGTCCCATGATGCCAGCCTGCCGGGAGGCAAACCCGAGCCACAAACTTTTATTCTCAAACTGTAACAAACAAAAAATTTAAGAAACAGAGCAGAGTCCGGGTCCCCAGCGACCCCGGCCATGGGGGGGCTGGCGGGGGCCAGACGGGGAACCAGCCCCTTCCGCGCCGGCGGCGATGGCCCGCGCCGGGGCGGGTGTCCCCGAGGTGACATGGGCAATCAAAACCACCCAATCCCCAGGTGCATGGCAAGGTCCGGGGGTCCCCCGCAGCTGCCGTTACACAGCGGTAGTCCTGCCGAAGAGGGGCATGGAGACTGGGAGGTGCCAGGGTCCTGGCTCGTAGGTGTCCCTGCTGCTGAGCTCCGAGTCCGTCCAGCTGGGAAACATGCGTGGGGAGCACTCCTGCTGCAGGTAGAGGTCCGGGCAGGCAGGGCCAGGGCTGGCAGAGCGGGGCAGGTGCAGCGCCGAACCATAGCTGGCATCGAGGAAAAGTGGTTTGTAGCTGGGGGGCTGCTCCTGCTTCTCCAGCCGCTCGTGGCTCAGGAAAGGGGCGTTGATTTTGCGGTAGAGCCCCCGCGTGTCCATCAGCACCTCGCTGTATGGTGGGGGGGGCTCTGCCATCAACAGAGCTTCCTCATAGCACGGCGGCTTTGACAGGTCCGACTCTGCAAGGCAAAGCCCCCCCCGGACCCCTGCTGCCGTCAGCGCTGCGCTCTGGCTCTCACGTCGTATCCCCCCCAAAACAGGGGGAGGCACGTGCTCCGGGGATGCGAGAGCCCCTCCCTGCTCCTTACCGTGCCGGCAGCTCCAGGGCCGGGGGGGTGGGATGTGGTGGGGGTGATGATGATGGTGGGGGTCGAGGCGGAGGCGGTGGGGAATGGCGATGCCGGGGGGGCTGCCCCTGTAACCCTCATAGTGCAGTGGCTCCATCTCCAGCGCGCGCAGGCTCTGCTCCCGCAGCCGCTCCTCCTGCTGCCGCTTCACCCGCCGCCGCAGGTAGCTGCAGAAGCAGCACAGCAGCACGATGAGGCCCCAGATGAGCCAGAAGCCCGCAAAGCAGGTGAGGAAGGTGTAGGTGCCCTGGGACATCACCATCTTGACTGCCGGATCCGGGGGGAGGCCCCCGCCTTTCCCTGCCCTCGGGGTGGGGGACGGGATGCTCAGGGCGGCGGCAGGGTCAGGGAGGACCCGATGCTGTCAGGGCCGCCGAGGGCATCTCCCCGGGCTGTGCCCGGCGCCGTCTCCTCTGGCCCGCGGGTGCCTGCCGTCAGGGGTCCATCCTTGCCATAGAGCTGGGGGGGGCTGGAGCGGGTGGGTCAGGCGTGGGTGCGCTGGGCGGGCGGCGGGGCGGGGGGCCGGCGGGGCGGGCGGTGGGGGGATGGGGCTGGCAGGGTCCTGCTGCCCATCGCTGGGGGGGACCGCCGGGGTGGGGGCCCTGCAACGAGACAGACGCGAGCGTGAGCGACACAGAAACGTGGACGCCCTGTTCCCATGGTGACTCGCTCTACATGCGCTGCAGTGCCCGCAGCCGGAGGGGAAGCGTGCCTGGCCCCCCTCATGCACCCCATCATTGCCTCCATGGCTGCAAACCTGTACACCCCACCCAGAACCCCTCCACAGCACTGCCGGGAACTCTGGGGCAGGAGATGGATGCTCTGGTCCATCAGAGCATGACCTTTCAGATCATGGGGTGCCCATTGGGATCCCCTTTTCCTGCTCACCCAGCACACCCCAAATTGGCTGCCGAGCCCAGGCAGCTCATTCATCCCTGTGCTGCCACACAGTGGGGTGCCCTGGGGTGCCCCAGGGAGAATGAGGGATGTGCAGAGCTGCCAGTTGCCTGTGGCACGTGGCGCTTGCAAGAGCACGTGCACTGTGGCCATTGCTGGCCTCGCAGCCACCCGAGGGGGCTCAGGGGATGGTGGCACCTCAACACAGCAAAGCAGGGCCAAGGGGTGGTGAGGATGGGAACCATCACCCCTGCCAGGTCCCAGCCTTCAGACAGGGTGATAGCTCAGCCATGTCAAACCCAGCACCGAATGACAATGGTGTGTACCAGGGGCAGGTGTGCCCCTCAGTGCGCAGGGAGCAGCACCCATGGGTGCTCGCAGGTAGGCAAGTAAGCACCCATCAGGATTCTCATTGTGGTGGTGTGGGAGAAAACGGGCTCGGCAGCAAGGAGGAGGGTGAGCATGGAGCGGTGGCAGCCGAGGGCTGGGAGACCACTCGTGTGGCTCTACTCAGAGACAGCCGAAGGGGTGCGGGGTGCTCGACCACCCCGCGGGCCAGGGCCACGCTGCCGGCAAGGGGGACGGCAGTGCCACCAGGTGCTGAGGGTGCTGGCAGGGCCGGAGGGCCGAGCCCGGCGGAAGGAAGGAGCGATGGGGAAGGAAGAAGCAATGGGGAAGGAAGGAGCAATGGAGAAGGAAGGGGTCAGGGGCCCTGGCCACTGGCAGGCAGTGGGGGCTGCTCCATCAGGCAGACAAACGCGTGGGCAGAGGCAGTGCTGCGATGTGGGTGTATGGGGAGGGGGTCCCCGCTGCCCGGTTGAGGCCACTGGGTGCAGGCAGGGCTCACCAGCCGCGGCTGCAACAGGCTCCGCGCCGGCAGCCTGGGCATCCCCGGGGAGGGGGGCACCGTGCGGGAAGGGCCACGGGTCGAGATCCGGGATGACAGCCGGGGGGACACCAGGAAGCGGTGCAGGGCTGGTTGGCGGCGCCGCGGACCGGGGGCGTTCGCAGCTGGGGCGTGCGGGGGGAGCGGGGCTGCCGGGGACTTGCGGGCTGGGGGAGGAGCGGGGCCGGGCTGGAGACACTCATACCGGGCGGGGAGCGAAGCGGGTGCCAAGCCGGGCCTCGCCGGTACCCCCGGGCCGCCCCGCTGCCCCCGGCCGCGGCCTGGGCCCCGCTACCCGCGTCGCATCCCTGCCCGGTGCCTCCGCCGGGAGGGTGACACCCCGGCGGGGAACCTCCCCGCTCTCGGTGCCGGGCGCGGCACCCCTTCCTCACCCTCCTCCTCCTCCTCCTCCTCCTCCTTCTCCCCCGGGGCGCGCGCCCGCCGAGGCCAGACCGGAGATGCGATCCTCGGTACGCGCCGCGCGCCCCCGCCGCGGTCCCCGGTGGCGGCGGCCCCGCCCGCCCCCGCCCCGGCCCCGCTGCCCCCGCACCGCGCAACAGGCGGAGGCGCCGCGCCCGCTCCCTCCGCGGCTCCCGTTACCGGCGGCGGCGGCGCACGTGGCTCAGGCGGCGGGCGGCGGCTCCATAGGGCGGCGGGGGAGGGGGCCCGGTGCGCGCCCGGTGCGCGGCACCGCCGCCGCCTCCCGGCGCTGCCTTTGTCTCCGGTGAGCGCTCCCGCGCCGCCGCCGCGCGCCGCCCCGCCCGCCCGGGCTCCCGCCCCGCCGCTCCGCCCCGCCCTCGGCTCGGGGAGGGACCCGCGGGCCCCCCGCGCCCCCCGCCCCGGGACCCGCCGCCGCGCGGGGGCTACCGGCGGGGAGACCGGCACTTACACGGGATTCCCCCGCCCTGCCCCCGGGGAACGGCGGTGGGATGCCTATGGCGAGAGGGACGGGGTATCCCCCGGCGGTAGCCCCACGGGATGGGGGACTGGGATCCCCGAGTGGCGGCTCCCGGTCCGGAGAGGTGATGGCCCTGCTATGCCTCGTGGGGTGGTGCCACGGGCTCCCACTGTCGGTGGCCTCGCACTCGCCCGGGGGTGCCCGGGGGTGCAACCACCCGCTCCCCCAGGGCCATACAGATCTTCCTCAGGGGGTGATAACCAAATGCTCCCCGGGTGTGACGGCCAGGCCGGCGCAGGGACATCAGCAGGGAGGGCAGCCCAGCCGCTGGCAAGACCTTAACGGGCACCTCTACAGCCTCTCCCGGGCACTGCAGCGGGACGAGTGGCTCTGTGGGGCAGTGGTGCCAGCCTGGCCCCCAGGACAGCAAGGGACAGAAGTGGCACTGGGAGACATGACAGTCTGTTCTGGGGTCACCCTGCTCTCTTGGGGCTGCCGTACCCCAGAGCAAACCCCTCGCCAGCCTGGCCTGAGCAACTGTCCCTTGTTGCTAGGGCTCCCTCAGCCATTTGCTACTGGGGGGTTGTCACCAGCTCTTCTCTGCTGTGACTGAGGCCAGTGGTCCTGGCACTCTTGGGAGACTGCTCTGGTTCCCTGGGACTGCGCCACGCTTGGGGGCAAGAGTCCTCACTGTCCCTTCACTGCACCCTGGGGCTGTGGCAGGAGCAGGGCAGCGTGGTTATGGGGCAGAGCTGAGCTGGATGCTGGGTGGGTGACAGGGTGTGGGTGCCCCATGCAGGCCATGACCCCGCCGCCGCTTCCTCCCCGTGGGCAGGGTGCTGGGTGCCCGCTGCGGCTGCACACACGGCGCATTGTTCTGCCGGGGCCTGGCCGGAAAGACTTCCTCCCTCCTGGCCAGGGGATGACCTGGGGAATCCACTGGCAATCTGCTCCCGCCACAGCCAGGCATAACAGCTCCAGCAGCTGGCCAAGCTCCACCACCTAGCTTGCAGCAGGGCCACAGTGGCCATGTGTCCCCCGTACCCCTTGGCTCTGGCCCCGACTCACCTTGCTGGAATTCGCCTCCTGCGATCCGACCTCACAGCACGGCCGTGGCAGCCGGGCAGCGCCAGCTCGACAGTTGTGGGGGTGCCCCAGCAGCACCCAGGGTGGGCAGGGGGCCGCGGCCATGCGGAGGGGCTGGGGTGCTCCCTTGAGGCATGGGCATCACGGAGGTGGGGGGCATGGCGGGCCCTGCGGGCATTGTCAGGCCAGGCCAAGGGTAGGCGAAGGGAGCCAGGCCTCCGGCCCCGCCAGTGCCGGGGGCCGGGAGCTGCCTTCCCCTTCCCCTTCCCGTCCCCTTCCCCACGGTGGCGGGGGGAGGCAGGCGGGGGAGCGCTCCCCGAGCCACATGGTGGGCTGGAGGAGGAGCCGTTGCCCAGGCAACAGCTGAGAGCATCCTTCACCCCTGAAAATGGTTTGTGGAGCTGCCACCACAGCCCTACAGCACAGGGCACTGCCCAAGGCCCTCAGGACCCACCCAGAGCTCACCCGTGTACGTGGGGTCCAGATCCACCTGCTCCAGCTGTGGCCATACACCAGCATCCCCACACCTGCATGCTGCTACCCCCCAGCAAGGACAGGGATGGGGATGAAACATCCCCCAGATGCTGAGGCACCGTGGGGCAGGGGGAGCTGGGGACAGGCAGAGCCCATTCCCTGCCCTGCTTAGGGCTGGCCATGGCTCTTCTCACCCCCCAGCCCTGCCCCAGAGCCACCCTGACTTGTGACAGGTACACGAACATGCTGGTGACCCTGGGACCTTGGTGCCAGCGTGTCATGGCCCAGGCATTGCCAGGAGGGCGGCACAAGCATCCCGACCGGCGTGGTGGGAACAGCAATCTCCAGGCACTCCCCATCCCCCTGCCTGTCTTCCTTCCTTCCATGGCTGCAGAAAATTCCTGGATTTTACCCCAAGATGCCCCTTTTGAGTGTGAGAACTCCTCCTCGGCCTGCTCCCATAGCAACTGTTCCCTAGCTACCAGCCGCACTTGCTATTCTCATCCCAGTGCAGCTGCGTGTGGCCCCCCCGCGCTGCGCACAAAGCTGTCGCTGCTGCTGCCAGCCCTGGACCCCAAATCCACCTTGCACACCCCGTCCAGGCTGCCCCCTTTTTCCTGCTCCCCCCAGTGACTGTTGTGACCCTCACCCACATCACCCCACAGTGTCCCCCCTTCGAGGGGCTGTTCCTTGGGCTAAATTAACTCTATCCCCGTGAAAACCAGGACAAGCACTGTGTGCTGGTACGAGGTGGCCTCCCGAAGCAGCGATGTACAGTGACCAGAGGGCAGCAGGACTCTGTCCCAGCCCCACAGCACACCTGTGACAGCCCAGGAGGGGCTGTGCTGAGCTTCCCAGAGGGGACCACACCAGACATGAGCATCCCAACAGTACAAGGCCTTGTACCTGTCATGCCCCCACAATGACCCAAACCATGCAGCAGAAGCCACTGACGGCCACCTGTGGCACCCAGGGCTCAACCAGCACGAGCCCTTGCCCTGCAGGGCAACCCCTGCTTCCCTGCAGGGCATGAGCACCAGCAGGGCCCATGGCAGCCCAGAAATAGGGGTCTCTGCTCCCCTCCTTACAACCACCAATGCCATATGGCCTAGAGCAGGACCCCCGGTGACACGAGAGCAACACAACGTACGGCGAAGCTTTACACTTACAAAAGGTTAAAAATTTAAATACTCTCCAACTTTAGTGCAAGGCAAGCAAATGATACCACAGGTCCAAGTAGGTGCTCAGCCCCCCTGGGGGGCCTGGCTCAGAAAGAGCAGAGGCAGCAGCACACGCACACAGGCGTGTGCACACACACACACACACACACACACACACACACACACACACACACACAGAGAAGGGACGAGTTATTGCTCAGGACACAGCTAGGACAAGTGTGTACAAGAACGGACAGGACAAGCAGAGTGGAGGTGGGCTGAGCCCCGTGCTGCTCCCCAGGGAAGGCTCCAACCCCTCCACTCTACCCTGCCCATGGGCGCAGGAGCTGTGCTGGCTCTCCAGGACCCCTGGGGACACACAGTAAGCTGGTCCCAGCCCACTTACTCTTGGGTCGCAGCTCCACATGAACCAAGGAAGGGACATTCCCTTTACCACAGCTTTGCTTCCCGAGAGCAGGGTCCCTTATGTGTCTGCTCCTCCAACACTGAGCAGGGCCTCGAGACGGCAGCACCCCTGGCATGCGCAGGTCCAGAGCTGGTGGAACCATGCTGGGATCATCCTGCAGCATGCCAGGGATCAGACCAACCCTTTGGACCCAGCAGCAGCAGGTACCGCAGGAGTGGCTGCATCCTGCTGTGCCAGGAGAGGGGCTGGAAAGGGGCTTGGGATCAGCTTGCCGGCAGCATGTGTGAAAGGAGGCAGTAGGCAGCAAGATCCAGCAAGACAGGGAAGCGAGGACGAGGCAGTGACACTGCTGCCAGGACACAACAGGAGATGCTTTGGCACAGTGCTTTCCTGTGCCTCGGGGCTGAGCAATGGACTCCGCTGGAGCCAGGGATGCCTCAGCACGGCCAGAAAGGTCCAGGAAAGATGCTTTAGACACCTCAAGGCACAGAAGGCCTCTGCCCAGGACTCCCTGGAACAAAGCTGGGACTGTCACTCCCCCCATAGGAGGACATTTGTGCCTGTGACAGGGTGGGGGCAGTGCAGGCCCCCACCTATAGATTAAAAACTGACATGTGATATGTACAGACCAACATATATAAATATACATCAAACCTGCGGTGCCACTTTGGCACCGTGGAATGTGTCAGCAGAGCTGCTCCAGCCTGGCCTTGGCCCACACTGGCATGATCCTTCCCTCCCACCCTGGGCCCAGGAGGGTAGCGGCAGCAGCACCATCCCAAGCAGCACATTTGGAAGTGTCCGGGTTTGTCTCAGGGCTTGCCCATGGACAGAGGCATCTCAGCCTGAGCCATGTGCTGCTGCCAGTTTTGGAGTCATCCTCACAGTCTTCAAATACAGACGTGTAAAGCTGTAAACAAATCCACCTTGTGGGGCCACTGCAGTCGTGTCCTTCAGGCTGGGCACTCGGAGAGGCAAGGGGGTCCCAGGGGCTGGAGAACAAGCTGTGCTCTACAGCCGAGTGGGCTCTTCCTCGTTGTCACCACAGTTTCCACAACAGTCCTGAAGTCAAAAGGGCAAGGAGAGGGAGGAGGGAGGGAGGGAGAGAGGAGCACAGCAAGCAGAGGGTGAGCACAGTCACACAACCCAGCCTACAGCTGCTCTCTGGCAGGGACGGGCCAGGCCCCCCATAGCCTGTGTGCGGGAGAGCTACATGGAGACAAGGACTGGAGGAGATCCCCCAGACTGCAGAGGAACAGTCCAGCTGCATCTGGGGGTTCAGCCCCTGGCAGACAGACTGGTGAGCAGACAGCTGGCTAGTTCAGAAGCTGTGAGGAAGCTGGACTCTGGGGACTGCAGCCACCCACGGAGACAGCTCAGTGCCAGCACAGGTGCTCAGCCCCGCTCAGGGCTCAGCCAGCTGTGGAAGCAGCTGAAGCCCTTTTTGCTGAAATGGGAGTCTGAGCATGGGGCAATGCCAAACCCTTCACAGTTTCTCAACCTTTCTGTGTGTCCCGGACATTCAGAGAGGAGTGAAGGAAACCTCCCACAGCCCCCCGGGAGCAAAGCTCCCAGTAGCTGCAGTGCAGGGGCAGCTTTGGCTCAAGCTGAGGGCAAGGCCTTCCCCACAAAGGCAGCAAGAGCAGGGAAGCGGGATTAGTGGCTCGGGGCAGTTAGAACAACAAGCAGAATGTGCTCTGCCAGGGGAAGGGGACACTGAAGGACAACACTCCTCTCTCCCAGATCTTGCCATGTCCACGGGCCACCAGGTATTTCCCTGAGCAGAGCAGCCAGGAGTGACTGCTCACCTCTGGAAAGAGAAAACACGTGGGAAATCACAGCTCAACCCCTGCTACAGGCAGCCGCCCATCCTCTGGCAGGTCCTCCTGCCTTGGGAAAGGCCGGGTATCCCCAGAGCTGGCTCTGGCTAGGGCAGCCCATTGAACCGTGAAGCACAACTCAGTTTGGCATCAGGAGTCAGCAACGGGTGGCTGAGTGGGTCCAGAGCCAACCATGCTGGAGTCCCACAGCTGCACACAGCTGTTGAGAGGCTTTGCCAGGCTGGGAAAGAAGGCAAACACTGTTCCAGGAAGAGGAGACAGGCAGATAAGCAAGCCCACAGCAGCTGCAAGACATTTCTGTTCTCCTCATCCCTTGAAAGAACTGCTCTCTGCCTGGCTCAAGATCTGGCAGAAGTGCTCTGGGGAGCCCATTCCAAGAGCAATGCCTTGTTCAGGGATGGTATTATTCATGCAGGAAGAGAGATGACTTACTATTTTAATGCCTTCAACATCCTTCTGCCTGTGTGACTCCAGCACATTTAGCCAGGACACTCTTTCCCAGCCCCTTTCACTCCCCCAGCATGGGGAGTGCCAGCCAGGTGAGGGTTGGCTCCCTGCAGCCTTGCACGAGTGCCCCTGAGAGCCCTGAGGTCCAGCCACCCAAAACTAAGGGAGACTTCGCCTGCTGCCCTCTCTTGCCAGACATGCCTGGCACATGCAGGAGCAGGCTCAGTGCTGCTCAGGGACTGGCTGAGGACAGAAACACTGGGCAAACTCTTACCTGTCTGCTGAACAAGCGCTGGAGTAACCCTTTTTTGGGCTGTGGAGAAGGCTGCCCTTTCCAGTCCAGGTCTGGGGGCACCGTGCCGTCTGTGCTAAAGACGTTCAGCTCCTTAAAACACTCCGTCTCGATCATCTGGAAGAGGGCAAAGAAAGCTGCAGCAACTGTTACACGGAGCCCATCACTGAAGGCCCGACAGTGTGAGAGCAGCAGGGACAGCACAGACCTTGCAGGACCCTGCACTTGGCTGTGGTGGGCACAAGCAGGAGCAAAGACCTACCTCGTTCTGCCAAGGAATGGGCACACTTCCTGTGGCAAACTTCTGATAGAAGTCATTGTCTGTGGGCTCCAGCTCCACTCCTTTCACTGTGGAGAATTGCTCGATGTCCAGAACATCCTTGCAGTAGATGGCTTGGGGCTAAACAGCACAAAGATTGCTCTAATGCCAGGCTTCACCTTGACATCACCACCTCCAATAACTGTGGCTCGTGGCCAAGCCCAAGCCCCTTCTCCCTGCAGCCCTGAGCATGCTGGACCCCCTTTTGCCAGGCTCCAGAAACAAGAGGGAAAGGATGGACCTCATCTCCTCAGGTGAGCCATGCCAGTGCTCCCACTTCCCTTGACAGAAACAGTGACTGAAAAGGTCGGGATAGAGACA